GTCCTATTAGAAACCTTAGAATCAAAAGAAGTGTGATAGAAGATATGACTCAACCGCCGCTCAGTCGAAAAGTGAACGATCACGTCATTGCACTGGGTTATGCGGCAGCACTGCTTGCTTCTAATCATGACGGGGTATATTTACATAGGTCATGACTCCATGTTAATTGAGTTCCTACAGTATATTAAATATATTAAATAAGTTGTGTCACTTATTTTATCATTTTTAATAGTCATGCATAGCCCGTTTTGGCTACTCCACTATCTGCGCTTTTCTAGCTTTAGACGACAATGACAAAAACAACAAGTTTGATTTACTTCTGAAAAAATTCACAAATTTATCCGATATTGCTAGATGCAAGGAAGAAAATCAGCAGATGCTGCATTGCATAACGACTTAATTAATCAGAAAAATTGCACTAATTGGTGCAAAAAATTTCGCCCCTTTTTGCAAATAAAAAACAATTCCAAACCAACAATCAGAAGCATGAAATCTACTAGCTTCGCTAAACAATTATCCACAGTATATGACAGGTCAAAATTAAATCCGCCCACGCGGCTGTGGTGATCATTCATTTCATGTGTTTAACGATCCAATCTATATAGGCAGTAACTTTCGTGTACACGCCTGGAAACTTGGCTTGGCCGCACTCGCCACCGAAGCTCGTAATGCCGTGCAAGTAGAATTTACCGTCGTCATGACGGCATGCCAATGGTCCACCGCTGTCGCCCTGCAAAATACAGCAACAGTAGTAACAATGGGAAACAAAGTCACATCTTTCGCATGTCTCTGGTGGCTTTTCTTAATAATGCTCCCAATTCCTTTCCATTCATGTTGTCATGATTCTGAGCGACAGACGGTATCGGTTTTGTTACCACTTCGTTTGTCTTAACGTTCCGTAATCGCTGTTTTATGATTATGATTAATTACCTGACAAGTGTCTTTTCCTCCTGTTTCAAATCCAGCACAGTGAACATTTGGGGGTCTCAGCGAGTTATAATGATTAGAATCGAAGCAGGTGCTGGTGTTCATTAGAGGAAGTCCAACTTCCTGCAACATTGTTGAGGTACTTTTGCTACCTAAACATGAGAGATTACTTCGGTAGGCCACATAATCAGCTCTATATGAAGATCGCAGTGAGTCTTATTAAGCGCAAAACCGATTTTGATCAAACACTTAAAACTTTTCGCAAGAATTCTGATTTTGAATGCCACTCCTAGTGATGAGAGACTTTCATATCTTCATTGCCGTGAGGTCAGAGCCATGAGATGATCGCCGCTCCCTCCTTGCAAGGTTCCCCATGCCAGAGTTGTTTAGGTATTGAGTTCAGATCAATCAAATGCATTTCACTCTCTACTGTAAAAGTGGTTCAGTCTTTAAACAGGATCATACAGCATCTTGCTTCATGAGGGTCAGCAAAGAATCCGTTGAAAATTCCCGCAGATAAACTCGTCGGACAAATATTCTATTGATTTCTTGTCGTTTGTACTTAGCAGTCATTTAATTTGTCACCTAAAATTGTCAATTAACCTGCGACCTATTTATAGAAGCAACCAAGCTCAGCATGAGGCTTGACAAGAACCTCATACCTGTTACCAACAGCGTTGATGGAGCATCATCTTTGTAAACTGGAATAGAAGCTTCGTATGTGAAGAGGAGTAGGAACCATTAAGACAGGTTACGGTGGCAACTGTGTGTAACTTTATAGTCCTCTGCCATGTACCAGCAATTCCAGGTCTTCTAGCTTGACAACAGATGGATCCTTTTGTTTCGCAGATGATCAGCGACCTTAACGCTCACAAAGATGATGATAGTGTTAGCCCATGACTAATATGCTGTGAGGTTGGTGACCATTGGGAAACAGATCAGCAAATTAAAGCCTAAATTAAGAAATCAAACCCTGATCAGAGCTTACAAAGGCATTACAATTCTTTCTCTGAAGAATTTGGTCAGGTCCTGAAAAAGATAATTTACAAGAAACAGATTCTTTTAAATAAAAACTTAAACCTGCGATATAGCTAGACTGATCGAAAATATCTATGACCCCATTATTAATTGCTACAAAGTCAAATTGCTGGAAATCGCCGGTACAGATGGTCCGCTTTATTACGCAACTTTGCCCATTCTGATTTCACGAAGTACGTGTGATACCGAGATTCTTTAGGAAAGCAATCATTGATCGATTTGGTCATGCTTTCATTATCATATCTGCTTCACTGTAAAGCAATTTCGAGTTATGAACCGGTCATAACGTCAATATCTTCAACCTGCTCATTTTGTTTGATGAATAAAATGGGAAGCTTTGGAGATGAACACTTGAAGAAAGCGCTTGCAGATGATTCATCAGTCAAGCCTCAGATATAGACTGTGTAAGTGGCTGCTTAAAACAGCCGCAACTCTTTCTGTCTTCTTTTGTCGTGAAGGTAAGTGAAGAGTTTTGAGGTTGAAGGGTCAATTTCAGAACGTTATGAAAGAAAATGAAAAGGGCTATTCATTTATAGTTGCATGTTGGTTTCAAATTTGCTCACTGCTTAACGTACATCAGTGACATCGATAAACGTTTATACGCTATAAAAGTAATTATTTTATGGACGTTTTGATAAACAAGTTCCTAAAGAGCAATTAAATTCATAAAAAAATTTCAAAGTAAGAACGAAAACTTTTTTAAATATTAAATATTTCCTTTCATTCATTGCTTATAGAAAGCTGCGACATTCAAATAAATATTTAAATTTCTTCTGCAGTACACCACCATCTATTTCTATGAACTTACTGAGATGCATGCATATCAAAGCTCTACAACACTGCGCTGCGATATGCTGCTGAGCGACGAGGTCTAGCATCTCGATGCTACCATTATTAAGAACAGATACAAGAGCACTTTGCAAACGCGGTTTTTCAAAAAACTAAGTTCGCCCTGCCTCACCACTAATTTGCAAATCACTTGTCACAATATCATTTATCCGTATAATAAAACACTTATAGCATTAATGTTTTTCAGCAGGGGCAAGACTCTTATATGTTTGCTTTACAAAATATTTCATTGTTGCCTAAGCAAAAACGCTGAAAATGCCCATCGTGTTAATAGCCGTGATTGTAATTGCGCCTATATCAGTCACAATCGTAGGTGTCTGAAGATCAGAATCAACAAGTACAGAAATAATCCGCCATGTGAAATAACCTTGCTAGACGCCTTGTCTTACTCGCCCATGCTCTAGAAAAATGCCATAACTTAGACAGCGACGACATTAGCATCATTTACAGTCACAGTGAAAAAATGATATAATAAAAGTCTGTAAATATTTTTTGATGACAAACATAGAGTATGTAAAACGGCTATATGATCTATCTGTCATTTGGGGATTAATTCTTTTTTGATACTTATGTTCCCTCAGCATCTTCGCGTTCGCATTAACATAGTTGAATGGTCTTCTTTCAATAAGCATACAACTACATTTACTACAGTTTATATAAGAACAACACTTTGACACAAAAAGCATAAGCAATATTCAAACCTCTGATTAAAATTAAAGAGCATAAATTGTGCCCGCTCTATAAAATAAATTCGCGTCCTGTTCTTCTGGAAAATTTTGAATTTCCTCAGACAATCAATCGATAGAAGACATAATTACTACGCTATTCAAGTTCATTCCTTGAAGCTTCTTATATTGAATAAATACTTATTATATTACTGATCGTATGGAGTGAGCAGTATAGCATTACTATGAATTTAAATAGAAAATTGGTTCAGTTATTTTGCAAGAAGTGCATCATTAGAACAAGAGGTATTTGAATGTACTAAAGTGCATGCAATTCACAGTTTTATAAAAACCTCTTCAGTGGTGTAGACTAATAAATCTTTATAAAATTGTGAATTGTATGCGCTTCAGGACAATCACATTTCTTGTGGTGCAGACAGCTGTAGACACCTTTGCTGGTGTACGCAACTCTGCCGTTGCGGTACCAAGCCCGGGTGAGAAAGGAGGAGGTTTGGACACCGTCGCGAAATCGCCGCAAAACTTAGACACCTGCCATTCATGGCATTGCCATCATCAAAAATTATACCCGCTCCGTCGTCGCCCGAGTTAATAAGGGCCGTGCAGACTGTTGGGACACTGAGGCAGGTTGCGAACAGTCAGCGATCAGAACCTGCTCACTGTCCTCTGCCAGCCGGAGGAGTAGCAGCACAACAAAAGTTGCCGAAGAATGACGGAACGACGACGAAATACCAGTCAGCAACGGAGTCACTATCCGTTTAGAACGGTGGAGGCAGACAGCGGTCGGATAAAGTTCTACGAGAACGACACCTTCAGTGGGAGGTTACAGTCAGAAATTTGAACTCAGAAGGAAAAACAAGAGTTAGTTGATGACGCTATAAAGTACCAACTCGACATTGTTGGACTCTCGTCAACGAAACGCAAAGGTTAAGGACTATTGAACTTCAATGGATGGAAGCTGTTCTATTCAGGCGTCGATATTATGACTGGTGCTCCAGTCGGTGTTGCTGTTCTGGTAGAACCCAAGCTTTCGCACAGAATTATTGACTGGAAACCTGTCAGCGGAAGGGTGGTAATCCTCCGACTGAAGCTACAACAGGCTAAATCGATGATCTTGGTACAAGTCCATGCGCCCAATTTGGAGGAAGAATATGAGACCTTCCTTGAGGAAGTGCAGTGCGCTCCGTCCGAAGTGCCGAATACAGAGTTCCCCGTACTGATGGACGATTTTAATGCGCACGTCGCAGTATATATTGAAAAGTTGAAAGGTGTGATTGGGAAAAACGGCCCTAGCGACCTCAATAATAACGGCATGAAGTTGTTGCGGTTTTGTGCAA